AACGCAGGGCACAAAGAAAGGGCCTTCTTAGCCACCAAATGAGCTACCCTATTGTGATTCCTACCTACAAAGTGAAACTCAAACCCTGGGCGCGCCATAGTCAACTCCGCCACTTCCTGAAGTATAGCTCCACCCTGCTGATCCATTGTTTCAATGCCATGAATCTTCTCAATAACTACTTTGGCATCCCCTTGAATGAACAACTCATCAAAACCCATTTGACAACACTAGCGACACGCATCCCGTACTGGCAACAGCTATGCCAAAAAAGGTTCCTGGATCCCCGGATATTGAAGCCCTATAGACATCACCAGCTCCCCTGCAACATCGAACAAAACCAAGCCCCCCCCCCCCCCCCCCGGCAGCATGGAACCAGCTGCAACTAATAGAGTCGTTGCGACTGGCTTTAACAATGTACATGACCTCTTATATTAAGAAACAGTAATAATATTTTTTAGGCAAACGCTCAACTATTTTTTAAGTACTTCTCTAAACGCTCCAGTCAAAAGCTGCTTTCACAAAATCGACAGCAGGGCCAAACTAGCCCTTTATGACTTTTGTGTGGTGAGGTTGTGATATGTTTTCTAAACTTTGTGGGTTGTTTAGATGGGGCATTGTGGCAGGATTGTGGTGCAGGATTTTAAAACAATCCCACACAATGAGGAATTTAACCAAATAACATGTTTTGAAAAAGTTGGGGTTATAACCATCAGAGATTTTTAAAAATCCACATATGTGGGTATTTAATTAGCTGATGGAGGTTAGCTATTTTGAAATCCCTCATTTTTTTGACTTGTTCCAACTTAGCCCTTCTTCCTTCTTCTTTGCCATCGACCACTCCCCAGTAAACCTCACCCATCGTCGCTCCAGAGTAGTTCAATTTTTCAGACAAAATTTCCTCTTCCTCTCTCAGCGTCGTCTGTTGTTATTATTTTAACCTCTTTTCTGACCTCTTCAACCCCAACATTATGATCAGTCGTCAATTGTTCAGCCACCATCCTACATTTCCCTTCTCCCCTGCAATCGAAACTCTCCTTCCCAAACTGCCCATGGATCGCCTAAAATTGGCCACATACAACAAATCCTCCACAACTATTTCAGGAGACAACAAGACCCAGCGGAGGAAATCTACGGTTGGGCCATCCATGATAGCTTCACCATCTGCAAGAATTTCTCCTCCGTTGTCGAAAACGTCTTCCTTGTCACTTTCGTAGATAGTCTACCTTGTAATATCGTGAAGTTTGAATTTTAGGGTTAAAAAATGTTTAATTCAATTGATGGGGGCGATACCCCAATTCTACATCTAATGTTCGTAATTCGCCGTAGAAGAAAGGGAAGAGACGGCGGGTTACGAAATGGGAAGCTTGAGGGCTGTCGTGGCCGTTGTAGACACCGAGGTAAGTTTCGAAAGGAGAAGTGAAAACCTAGCCCTAGGTTTCCAACTTGGAGTTGGCTTGAACCGTCGCGAAAGATTAATCTATGAGGCAATACCGCTTCAGGTCAATATGTCATAGAAGCTCATTGCCTTCGATGCCTCCGCTACCGCCGAAGCATTTGCAGTCAAACAACATATTTTTTTTAATTAGAAGGACAAAAATATAAATTTGGTTTTTCTCATTAAAAACCACATCTCTTAATAAACAAGATATTTGATACAAATCGTTAATCACAAATATATGGTTTTTAGTTGAGGAATTTCAAATCAAATCTTTCACAAATCCCTCTAATTAAAATCCTGCATCCAAACAACATAGGGTCGTTTGAATGTAGGAATGTAGCAGGACTATGGTGTAGGATTTTAAAACAATCCCACACAATGTGAAATTTCAATCAAATAACACGTTTAGGAAGAGCTGAGATTGTGGCTATAAGGGATTTTAAAAACCCACATATGTGGGATTGTGAAATAGTTGATGGGGGTCAGCTATTTTGAAATCTCATATTTTTTATTTGTTCCAAACTTATCATTCACCCATAGAACACCCTCTTCGTTCTTCTTCACCTATCCTCACTGTCGGTCAAACCTTGTCGTCGTCGCTCTCTCTTCCTGATGTCGCACAATCTCGCTGTCGCCTTCTCTCATTGACTTAGCCCAAGTCCATGGGAGCAGTCACAATCACCCATTCTCTCCAATGTTGCACAAGTCACGGTTACGCACACCATCAACCTTCGTTCCCTCCATTTTCAAAGATTTGGCCAACAAATCGCGAGGATGGCGATTGATGAGGTTCACGACTGGCAAGGTTAGCAGCCCTGAAGGATGCTGGATATCGAGGTCACCAGGTCTGGTGGGTTTTGTCAATTTTGGTGGTTCGATAGTCTGGTGGAGAGGAGAGCAAACTATTTTTGGTAAAGGATTGTTCATATGACGCAAAATGGTCATACCCTGTGGAAAGTACAAAACATAATAAAAGTAGAGAATGAAAATTACATCAAAGCCCAAAAAATCCAATAAGACCATGTCAAGGCAACAATATGTCCAACAATCAAACCCTAATTGCATTATGCTCCCAAAGAAACGGTTGCCGCCGGTGGACGAAGCCAAGCACACCTTCAGCAACCACAAGCATACTGGATCCGACCAAACCGACTGGAGGCAGTGGAAACAACAGACGCCTCCAATGAAACTTCATCGGCCCAACCGCCGAACCCATCTCAACGTCCACACAACAAAGAGAGAAACTCAAATCGGAAGAGTGGCAGACGACGAAACATTGGGATGATCTTTAGTCTTCAAGATCTTCATTCCGAGTCCAAGTCGAGAGCCACATCTCCGAAGCACCCAGATCTGCAAGGTGAAGCAAGGAGGTAGACAAAAGAGTGAAGAGAAGACAAGCCGACTCAAAACAAATTCGATCTCCTTTGCATCTTAGACCAGCATCATCTTCGTATATGAAAGAGACGAGCGAAACAAAAGCTCAACCGAACAAAGAGGAGGAAGGAGACTCACGAAGGGGAAGAAAATAGCCAAACCATGACTGGAAGCAGCATAAAACTAAAGGAAACGAAAGCAAAACAACAAACAGAAAACACATCAGAGGAAAAGTGGGGAAACGTGATGAAAAAAGTGAGAATGGGCTATCGCTGGTCACAAAATGGTGTCGGTGACACCCTTTGGTATCAAAGTAGCGACTTCTTTTAAGAGAGAGGGGATAAGAAAAGCTGAAAGAGAAAAGACGAAGTTGGAGGAGGAAGATGAAAAGGAGGCAATTGTGTATTTTCATTTCTTTCATTGAAATCCTATGTTTACTTCCAAACAAGGTATTTCATTAAAATTATTCATGTAGAAACAAGTTTTGAGCCCAAATCCCTCTCTAATCTCTCAAATTAAAACCTAAGTTTTTATTGTGTTGTCTTTTGTTTTAGTGGTTTGTGGTTTGTGTTTTGTCATCCCCCAACAATTAATGCACACACATCTTTGTGTGTTTCTCCTCCCTAATTTTTAATAATGACCAATGTGCCCCTCATTTATAAATTCTCATTCACTATGATTAACACCTTAAAATACATAAATTCATAAACAAATGTTACTTTTGAATGAAGCTACTACGACAAACTAACAAATTTAATGTTAATACCTTACGGGTCATTTTCTTGAGGGTTTTGATGATGAATTTGGTTATGGAAATCCATCCATCGTGGACTTGAACAGAAATCCATCGTTTGTCTTAAGGAATTAGGAAGATGGAATTTGTGAAGTTCACGGATTTTGAGGGTCCAAATCCATGGACCCCACGAATTTGGAAGTTCAACCTCTTGAGGTGGGATTTGGGTGATGGATTAAAAAGCTATTATGGTAATTTGCTCTTCTACCCTTCCTTATTTTCTTAATTTCAAATTTTTCCTATTTTATTTCAATGGCCATGCAACTATAAACTTTTATAATGTTGTATTTTATAAATATGAGAAAGAGAATTTATCATTTCGTTTGTAATGTCGTATTGTATTTTATTTAAATATGAATGTGCATGTGATTTGTTAGATTCAACTATGAACACCCTATCCTCATCTTGTGCATTATTATTTGATTGATGGTCGGATTCCAAAATCGGGGAGTTAAGAAGAAGATAATAAGTTATAGAAATAAGGCGAGCAACTGGTTGCAACTGATACTGTTTACACCTAAAATATTTTTGGCCTAAATTCAATGCCGTAATAATGACTCCCGGCATTTAACTCGATATCGCATGGCCAAAACGATGTCGTGTGGAGTCGAACAATACCGCGGAGAATTTAAGCGAGACCGCGAAGAGGCTCGGCGGTACCGCGGTTCTTGAAACGACATTGGTTGCAGACCATGTGTGAGTCATGCGCAGGACATGTGTTGTTGTTGGACAAGGAATGTTTTTTATTTTATTTTTTCCTTGTCGGAGGAGGAGAGTAACAACACCGTTTGGAGTCAAGCAATGCAGCAAAGAGATAATACGGTACCGCAAGGAATCTCAACGGTACCGCAACGCTGGAAACGACACCGCTTGTCGAAAATAAAAAAAGAGGGCCGTGTGTTTAATGGGGTTGAAGGAGGAGTCTTTAATTGTTTAATTATTATTTTTTATTCCTTGTGAGAAGCGGCACCGCGGGGAGTTAAAGCGGTACCGCGAAACAGAAAATCGGTGCCGCGAGGAAGCTCGGCGGTACCGCGGAACTGGAGAGGGGCCGCGCAGTGTAGGTGTTGGGGAAGGAGTTTTGTTTATAATTAATTAATATTTTTATTCCTTGTTGGGAGGGGAAAATCGGTACCGCATGGAGACAAGCGGTATCGCGGAGAGTTAAAACGGTACCGCGAGTAGGCCCAACGGTACCGCGGATTAGCAAACGACAGTGTTTAATAATAAACAGTGTCGCGGAAGAAAAAACAAACGGAGCTGGTTGGGAAAGAAAACGACACCGCAGGGCTGGAAGCGGAGTCGTTTAATGTTAAAACGATGCCGCGGGTAGAATCAAGCGGTGCTGCTCAGTTAAAAACGACACCGTTTAAGGCATCAACAACGCCGCAGTATCACTAAGCGGTGTCGTTTAGTTAAAAACCATACCACAATGGTTTGGATTTTGGCGAGGCCTGGCAAGCACAACGGTGCCGTTTGGTTGAAAAAGAAACAATGTCGCGGAATGGAAAACGACATTGTTTGTCAGCATCGATTAGTGAAAGGTGATGCCGCGGTATTGGTGAAACGACATCGTTGCATGGACAAGGTTGTAGGATTTGGCTCAATGTCGTTTCGCCAAGTTTCTGCAAACAGGAGCGGTTTCGATGGCACGTGATTTTTACGCAAAGCAGAAAGAGGAGATCAAGGCAGTTGAGACACGTGGGATTTCACAACGGAGCAGTTGATGAAGCGGTTCCACCGAGCGTGAAGGCTACGAAGCAGTTTTCGAATAAAAGCAGTGGAGCAAGGAGAGAGAAAGGGGACGACCAAAAATCAACACAGAACAACTCTGTCAAACTTTACCTTTTTTCTCTGTAACTCCTTCGCGGAGCTCTCCTTCCAGAAAGGATCTCCATAGTTGTAGTGTTAGTCGTAGTCGCGGAGCTCTCCACAGGAATCTCCATAGGAGTAGCGGTAACGTAGATTCCTCAAAACTCAAACACCCTCGTTCGAACGTAGTTTGGAGAGGTGCGAACCGTAGTAATGGTCGCGTTGGTTAGAAGTCAGAGGTGAATCGATTAAATCAACGACGCCGACATTCGGTGGCGGATATATGACGATCACGTCGATTTCACCATTCAGAGGTGCATCGATCAAATCAACACCGCCCGGTGGATATTTGACGATCGTCATCGATTTCAGCAATCAGCGGTGCATCCGATCAAATGGCACCGCAAGAGTTTCCATCGCGAAACATCAAATCAACATCGCCGGAAACGAATTCGGCACCGGCGGTGGCATTTGGTTTTCTCGGGAAACATTTTGGCACGCCTGGTGGGACACGTGTGTTTGACACGGCTCCGCGTCGAGGAAATCAAGATCGTGATCTTCCACACATACCTGTGGAGGAGGAGGCGCCCGGCATTGAAGTTGGTCAGGCGAACGAGGCAGATAGACGTACTCAAGGGATGGAGGAGCTGCTACATGCTGAAATCCTGTATCTACGTCAATCCATGGAGGAGTTTCACCAATCCATGAAGGATTTTCACCAAGAGGTAAATCTCCAATTTGATAATCTTGAAAAGAAAATGGATAAGTTTGAAAACAACATAGATCGATGGTTTGATAAGTTGGATGACTGTGTTTCTGATTTTAGTATGTCAATACATAGAGCCACATGTGATTTTGATGTGTTTAAATCTGAAACCATGTCTGTTGCGTGCGATGATTTGATGGTTGATCGGCTAGTCAATGTCAACCAAACGCCATCGACGAGTATGGCTACAACATTGTTGCCAAAAGCCAAGGAGCCCAACGTGTCTTTTCCTGTGAACAATGTTGTTCTTAAGGACACACAAATTGGGATTGGCTTGAAGAAGCCACTACAAAGAAGTCAATATCGGCTTACTTCTAGTAAGATTGAAAACAATAACCAGGGTGGAGAACCTGGTCACAAATACGTTGAGCATCAAAAGCTCACATATGATGTGTTGTCAATCCAACATTGCGATGATGTTCGATCTAAGCCGCTAGGGGGGCATGAGATCCCACTACAATGCAGGTTGAAGGAGAAACAACATCACAAGTGGCAAAGAAGTCCATGTTCTAGGAAAAAACGTATGTGGGTTGCCATAGGCACTATTCAAGTTGGAGGTGGTAGCCACGTGAAAAAAACCAATGCCACCAGAGTTGGCATGAATCAACAGAACCCTCATTGTAATTTGTCCCCAAAGCCTCCACTGAGTGGACAGGGGGGCAAGTTCAATCAAACCCGACATGGGGTTGCCACGCCAATGCTGGCTAGGTCTTCCATGATTTTCGGGCAGGGGGGCAAGCTAAATGCCCGAAAAACTTCAATCTCACATGAAAATGCAAAAGATCATGACACTTACTTCCAACAATATGGTGAGAATGTGCAGATGAGAAAATCAGACCAGTCTGGGCAAGCAATGTCGCATGGTCGATTTAGCAGGACAAAGGCGCCAAAAGACGTGGGTTCCCTACCTAGAGAAAATAATACATGTAGTTCTCATTGGCCCAAACCTGAGTTGAGGCCAAATCGAGATCGTGGAGTTTCGAACAAGGAGGTTCGAGCTAGATCCAACTGTGACTTCAAAACTTTTCAGTCGCGTGTAAAGCCAGCTGTGACAAGTCATACTGTTCACAGATGGCTTGTTTGGTTTGATATGTGGAGTTGGCAGTGGGTGTGGACATTTGGCATGATGATTTATGCCAAAGTCTAGTTTGTTTCTTATTTAACTGTTAATAAATAACGTGGCTAAATTAGGCCACCTAATATGTTATAGAGAAAATATTATACAATATAATCAAGCGGCATTGCTAAGAAGAAGCAACAATATCATTGGCAATAGTTCAAAATAACAAGCGGTGTTGTTCTCTTTTCTCAACATCGTTGGAAGATAGGGAAAGGTACACAATGCTGTAAAAAAAAACAGGAAAAAAAAAATCGCCAAAACAATACTGGTGAAGGAAAAAATCGGTGCTGTTTTTGGAAGAAATATCCTTGCGGCAATGATAAATATATAAAAAAGTATCACACTGCCGTTTTGGCCGAGGCCGCGATGCAGGTCTGCGAAAGAAAAAAAAGAAAGAAGAAACAACTTGGCCGCTGCAGCGTTGCAGGCCAAAGTTATATAAAGCAAAGTTATTGGAATTTAATTTGGCCAAATTTTAATTAAAGAAAAAAAAAGTTCAAGCATTGTCGTTTCGCTAAAGCAGCATTGCGGGCTTCGGGAGCCGAGATTAATCGGTTGTGGTTGGGATAAACACAGCCGCACACAAGATTTTATAAATAAAAATTGGACTTGTGATTTGTTTACCATATAGCGGTAATTTTGTCCAAGAGGGAAACCCACTGTTGTCTACCAAAGCAGTATTGCGGAACACACCTAAGCCGTGTTACAAGCAGGGTCGTTGGATTTTATTGAGGCCAAATCAGTACGGCTGGCCTTTGCAACGTTGTCTGGTTGAAGCCTTACGTAGCACGATTGAAATTGTTTTGGTAGTGCTACGTTATGATGATTGTGGCCAAGTAATATTTTTTTTGCTCAGGCGTGAATTGTATGCTTTTTTGGGCAAAGTGAATTTAGATATGAATCAATTTTAGGTGATTTAAGTTGTGTCAACAACTTGGTTCATAAATGCTTATAAACCAAGTTGTGGGGGGCATTGTTTACACCTAAAATATTTTTGGCCTAAATTCAATGCCGTAATAATGACTCCCGGCATTTAACTCGATATCGCATGGCCAAAACGATGTCGTGTGGAGTCGAACAATACCGCGGAGAATTTAAGCGAGACCGCGAAGAGGCTCGGCGGTACCGCGGTTCTTGAAACGACATTGGTTGCAGACCATGTGTGAGTCATGCGCAGGACATGTGTTGTTGTTGGACAAGGAATGTTTTTTATTTTATTTTTTCCTTGTCGGAGGAGGAGAGTAACAGCACCGTTTGGAGTCAAGCAATGCCGCGAAGAGATAATACGGTACCGCAAGGAATCTCAACGGTACCGCAACGCTGGAAACGACACCGCTTGCCGAAAATAAAAAAAGAGGGCCGTGTGTTTAATGGGGTTGAAGGAGGAGTCTTTAATTGTTTAATTATTATTTTTTATTCCTTGTGAGAAGCGGCACCGCGGGGAGTTAAAGCGGTACCGCGAAACAGAAAATCGGTGCCGCGAGGAAGCTCGGCGGTACCGCGGAACTGGAGAGGGGCCGCGCAGTGTAGGTGTTGGGGAAGGAGTTTTGTTTATAATTAATTAATATTTTTATTCCTTGTTGGGAGGGGAAAATCGGTACCGCATGGAGACAAGCGGTATCGCGGAGAGTTAAAACGGTACCGCGAGTAGGCCCAACGGTACCGCGGATTAGCAAACGACAGTGTTTAATAATAAACAGTGTCGCGGAAGAAAAAACAAACGGAGCTGGTTGGGAAAGAAAACGACACCGCAAGGCTGGAAGCGGAGTCGTTTAATGTTAAAACGATGCCGCGGGTAGAATCAAGCGGTGCTGCTCAGTTAAAAACGACACCGTTTAAGGCATCAACAACGCCGCAGTATCACTAAGCGGTGTCGTTTAGTTAAAAACCATACCACAATGGTTTGGATTTTGGCGAGGCCTGGCAAGCACAACGGTGCCGTTTGGTTGAAAAAGAAACAATGTCGCGGAATGGAAAACGACATTGTTTGTCAGCATCGATTAGTGAAAGGTGATGCCGCGGTATTGGTGAAACGACATCGTTGCATGGACAAGGTTGTAGGATTTGGCTCAATGTCGTTTCGCCAAGTTTCTGCAAACAGGAGCGGTTTCGATGGCACGTGATTTTTACGCAAAGCAGAAAGAGGAGATCAAGGCAGTTGAGACACGTGGGATTTCACAACGGAGCAGTTGATGAAGCGGTTCCACCGAGCGTGAAGGCTACGAAGCAGTTTTCGAATAAAAGCAGTGGAGCAAGGAGAGAGAAAGGGGACGACCAAAAATCAACACAGAACAACTCTGTCAAACTTTACCTTTTTTCTCTGTAACTCCTTCGCGGAGCTCTCCTTCCAGAAAGGATCTCCATAGTTGTAGTGTTAGTCGTAGTCGCGGAGCTCTCCACAGGAATCTCCATAGGAGTAGCGGTAACGTAGATTCCTCAAAACTCAAACACCCTCGTTCGAACGTAGTTTGGAGAGGTGCGAACCGTAGTAACGGTCGCGTTGGTTAGAAGTCAGAGGTGAATCGATTAAATCAACGACGCCGACATTCGGTGGCGGATATTTGACGATCACGTCGATTTCACCATTCAGAGGTGCATCGATCAAATCAACACCGCCCGGTGGATATTTGACGATCGTCATCGATTTCAGCAATCAGCGGTGCATCCGATCAAACGGCACCGCAAGAGTTTCCATCGCGAAACATCAAATCAACATCGACGGAAACGAATTCGGCACCGGCGGTGGCCTTTGGTTTTCTCGGGAAACAGATACATAATATTGTGTACATTATTAGATGGATTATTAATTAGTGCCAAATTGTAATACATTTCTATATTTGTAGTTGGATTATTAGTCTACATAGTGGTAAATAGTTTAAAATTTCTTAGATGAAAATTTTGGATTATAATATAGAAATATAATTAGATAAGTGTAACAAGATAATTTGTATTTCACATCCACAAATCTAATTAAAAAAATCCTTAATCAAATCCAACAAGCAAACAATAGACTTGTTGAAATCAATAATGCCACCAAATCCATCATATATCCATAATTTTCCAAAACCCTCATTTTTCAAATGAGTAAATTGCAAGTTTGGTCACTAGAATTACTATAAAAGTTCTTATTTGCCACTAAAATTAATTTATTCCATTCGTATTCACTTAAATTAGTTATACATTTCAAGTTTGGTCATTGTTTGTTAGTCTCCGTGAACTTTTGCTGATGTGGCGGTCAACTCTCATAGTTGACCGTTAACTAAATGACGTAGCAGTTAAAATATTTATAATTAATATTTGGGCTAATACCACTAAAACACCCGAACTATGACAAAAATGTCACTTGTGTCCTATTCTTTTCAATATTCCATTTATGTCCTTTCGTATATTTCATTTTGTCATTTATGTCCTCCCAATTTCGTTGACCGTTAAAGATAACGGTTGACCAGACAGAGGTCAAACTGTTATTGACTTTTGCTGACTTGGCAAAAATGTGACATTCACATAGGCGCCGTGTCATTTCCACATTATCTTTTAATTCAAAGTTATATTAAAATTAGATTTTAAAATTAAAAAAATAATTCAAGAATATTGCTAAAATTATTATAAAAAACAAAATTCAATACAAAAAAATACGAAAAGTTCATCTTCTCTTCTCCGCTTCTTCCTTCTGCTCGCGACCAGCGAATCGGAGAGGGCGGGGATCTATCATCTGGGAGAGGAGATCCACCGCCGACACTATCCCCACCGCCATCACCTTCCTTCTCTGTCGCTTCAATTTCCTGCTCACCCGACCCTGCGTATTCAACACCAAGTCCCGGACCTTGCTCCATCGCTTCCGCTTCCCGAATCCCCCATTAATTCAGTGGAATGGGTTTCACCGACGATTTAGAAACAATTAGGGCATTGTCGAATTAAACCAAACCATTGCAGAAAGTAGTGCTTCGGATCTGGACGCAGCTGCCGCTCGATCTCTCTAATTAGCGAAGCCTTAGAACCCCTGCCCCAAATCACTTTGTAGCCGCAGTTGTTGAACCCGAACACGAACAGTCACATAAGTCCATTTTCCCAGTGTTGTTGTTACTGTTGTTCTAATGAGGATGGAGCTCGGCCCTAGCCCCGGATTTTCTGCATGTTGTTACAAGAATCATAACTTTGGCAGTATTTGTCTTTGTCCGGCATGGAGTCGACAGGACGGAGGCAATTTTACTCAAAGCGCAGGAGGGTTGGACGAAGAGCGAGGCAGAGATAGGTTGCCATTTTCGTCCCTCCGGAGAAGTGTTCTTCGTTCAAAGCTAGCTTCAGAGTGAGAGGATTCCTGTGCAATTGCCTAATTGGATTGGGTGAGATCTCTGCAAGTAGATAAAGATTGCAGGGATGTCTGTTGGATCAATTTAACTCACACACGTCACACGTTGGGATTGAGATGGGGGCTTTTGGTTTTTAGATTGGGGAGCCCTCACCAAGAATTGGGGGGGGGGGGGGGTTGAAATTGGATCTGAATTATTTATTTTTTAGACTTCATCGTTGCCGCTTCAAATCCACAGCTCCCCCCGACTTTGGAGTGGGATACATTTGCGGCGGGCAGAGGTTGCGGGCTTTCATCGGAGGCGTCGCCGGGGGCTGCGGGGGAATAAGATGGCTCGTAAGAAGTAGTCGCGGACTCCATGACGGTGGTGACGAAGGGGTAATGGAGAGGGATGACGGTGATGACGGGTATTGGGAAAAGAAATGAGAATCAATTTTTTTATTTTCAATTTTATTTTATTTATTTTTTAAATGACATTGAAAATAAATATAAATTTAATGAAAATTTTACGTCATATGCCATGTCAGAGCTGATTGTGTTTCTGTTAAATACTAACAGTGAACGCTAACATAATCATAGTTCAGGACATAGATGGAATATTTAAAACAATAGGAATAAGTGACATTTTTTTGGTAGGTGTTGTAGTGGTATTAGCCCTTAATATTTTATAATTTCCACCTCATTTTCACAACTATTAAAAATACAATTTTATTCCTAATAATTTCTAAAACACCTAACCGTTTGACCAAGGTGTTGACGTTTCCTGTTCTTTCCCACCTCCTTCGCCGATGCTCTCTTCTTCCCAGAATCCGTCGTCGAGTTCCTGGTTCGACGATGAATCGTAATCGAACTCTTCCCCCCTCCTCCCCAACATCATTCTCTTCTGTTGTCTCCTCTCTCTCTCTCTCTCTCTCTCTCTCCTTCCTAATCCTCAAGCGCCAGGACTTTCAGCCCCTTCAATCCAAACGACCATTCGCCAATTCAGTACCCCAGAGGCTCCGATTTTAGTTGCAAATTGCTCGATTCACAAGCGGCGTATGAGCGACGCTGGACGTGTTGTTCCTCCTCGATTTTCTCTACCCTGCTAGAGATCTGCACAATGAGGGTCTCACGAGAGATGGGTCCGATTACTCTGCCAGTCGGGTCCCGGCCTGGATTAAAGATGTCCGAAAGCCTTTTAAAGCCACGATGCATTCCAGTCGTGTGGCAGTCCCACACCACACGATTATAATGTCCTTGCGGGCGAGGGTTCTGGTGGTATCATCATTGAAGAAGGCGACGTATTCGATCCAGTTGGCGATTCAGCTCGAGGGATTGAAAGAACTAGCGATGAGGGAATCGGCACTTGCATCGCCACCGGCGTGGCCTGTATTCTCCTTGCGACCACCAGCGTGGCGGCCGACAGAATCACTTCTGGCCGTGTGGGGAAGATGGTTTGGGGTTTGGAGTTATGAGAAGAACGACGAAAAAGGTGGAAGATGATATTGGGTTTGGAGTTTTGGGAAGAACGACGAAAAAGGTGAGTTTCAATTTTGGTAGTTATAATATTTGTTTTGTTTTATTTACTTTAATTTGTTGATATAATAATAAAATTCATAAAAATAATTTATTGTTATAATGAGGTGGAAATTATAAATATTAATTTTCATGATTTTTAAATGACATGTCACTTATTTAATGGTCAACTATAAGAGTTGACTGCCACATAGAAAAAGTTAACGGACACTAATAACCAGTAACCAAACTTGGAATGTTAAACTAATTTAAGTGACTACGGATGAGATAAAATAATTTTAGTGACAAACGTGAACTTTTATAGTAATTCTAATGACCAAACTTGCAATTTATCCTTTCTCAAATCCATGAACCACACGAACCGTTAGTCAACTCGCCCCCGTCAGAGGAAGGATCGTGTGACTGGGGGGGTGCTTAGTCACTTGACTAAGCCCCTCCAACCCCTTAGATATGGACACAACAATCTAATGGTTAAAAGTGGAAAGAGCTATTTAATTAATGACAGGGGTAGTTTTGGTATTATGGAAAATTACGAAGTATACAAACTGGACTTACAATCAGTGCAAACCATACAAACATACGAACAATGCAAACTAGAGCAACAAAACTTACAAACAGATTTACAAACAACACGAAACATACGAACTATACAAACAATACAAAGGTTTAATACACTTGTCTATCCAAAACTTTCACGGTTGTGCCAATAATATCCAAATTTCCTGAAATACCAATTATATCCATATTTTAAAGTTGTTTCGGGAAATTTGTTTGGCAAAGAACAACTTTAAAATATGGATATAAGTGTTATTTCGGGAAATTTGGATATTATTGGCACAATCGTGAAAGTTTTGGATATACAAGTGTATTTAACCCAATACAAACTAGACCGACAAACAATACAAACCAAATAAAAATGAAAAAACAAGCGGGTTGACTTTGGAGGCTTCATCCCTATATAGAGGGGTGTCGTCCCAAAGTCAACCCGATTGTTTTTTAGACATACAAACATTACAAACGCGGTGGACAAACATTACAAACTAGACCGACAAATAATACAAATGGAAAAACACCTAAGTTGACTTTGGAGGTTTCATCTCTATATAGAGAAGTTCCATCCAAAAGTCAACCAGGTTATTTTTCAGACATAAAAAACATTACAAGCATGGTTGACAAAAATTACAAATATGGTGCACAAAAATAACAAAACTTACAAACATTACAAAAGTAACCGATAAACATTACAAAATAACAAAACTTATAAACATTACAACAGAAATAGACAAATTGTACAAAGCATACTAACCGTACAGAATACCACTACTAACAATACAAATTTGTAAACTTGTATTACAAGCCAATGAATATAAAGTATACAAATCATAACATAAAAGTATACAAACTAGATAAACAAACATTACAAATTACAATAATACAAAGCAGTCATATAAACATTACAAATATAATAGACAAAAATGGCAAACAAGAATAATAAACAATACAAATGGAATTGATATAAACATTAGAAACTGAACTTATAAACATTACAATATAGGTCTACAAACATCACGAATCCAGCACTGTCGCCGGGAAAATCCTCCTCCACCGTCTCTGGTTGTCGGAAAACCATCTCCGTCGTCGCGAAATATTGCCTAACAAATGTTCGCCGGCCAAACTTGCCGGAACGCCGGATCCATAGCTAGAGGGAAGAGACGGGTCGGGAACGGGGACAATTTTCCGGCTGATGAGTGACTGGAGGAATTTTATTATTAGTTAATAATTAAAAATTAAAAAATCATGTAATTACTATATTATCCTTCATTCAATTGAATTAATTGAAGCCATTGAATTTTATTGAGGTTGAATGACTGAGATTGACTTAGACAAGTGACTAGGGTACCCAAGGTTGTTAAACCCCCTATCGAACCCCCGGTTGGACCCAGTCCGACCCGAGTCGAGCTTCAAAACGGCCTCCAAAAAGTCCACCGGTCTGATCCCTAAAGAGGGAGAAGAAGAAAAGGGGAAGAGAAGAAGAGGAATGAAGGAATGGAGATGGAGGGTGAGTCATGAAGGTTAGGTAGATTTATTTTGTGGAAAATAAGTTTTTAATAGATATATATATATAAGATAAATTTTATTTCAGCCTTTAAATCTTTAATTATTATCTTGTTGTACATATATATAAAAAATGTCTAAAACAACTTAAACTAGCTGAACCTCGATCAGACCTAGAGGTGGCAATTAGGATCCAAATCCATGAATCCAATCCAATCCATCCACCAAATTATCCACCTAATCCAATCCATTTAAATCCAATCCATTTGATCCAAATCCAATTGGATTGGTGGATTCATGGATCAATCCATGGATCCAAATGGCAAATTACGATTCGATACCTATATTTTTTATATTTTACATTTTGGTACCTAAAATTTATATTTTTATACGAAAAATATCATTGGAAAATTACATTTTGGTACCTAAAAATTTTCATTATGACATTTTAGTACCTATACTTTTCAAAATTTACATTTTGGTCCAAGCCTTGGATGTCATTTGGATTCATGGATCAATCCACCAATCCATTGGATCCAATCCATGAATCCACCAATCTATTTGATCCACGGATCCACCAATCCAATCCACGAATCCACGAATCCAATCCAATTGCCACCTCTAATCAGACCATTGAACCTCAAACTCTTGCTTGACGAGATATTACCCGTCACATGGACAATCCTTACTAAAGTCTAAAACCCTAGAATGTCCACGTCATCCCGAAACAAATCTTTCTCCAGTTCTCCATTCTTTCAATTTCCTGTCCCGCAACCGCACCCTAGCCTTCTTCCCCTGACTCCTCCCATTTGCTACCGTCCGTCCGCCTCTCTTATTCTTTCTTTTCTTCTCCCTCAATCTGCCAGCTTGGAAGCCTCTCGGCTTGCCCGCCTCTGGTCTGCCTTCGCGGACCCTTCAGAAGAGGTCCATGATTGCAACCTCGCGACCTGATTGTCATTCTGGGAACACAAGGTTCGTTAATTCTCTTACTGTAACGATTGTCAGTCACAAACAAACCCAATTATTCTCTCATAGAAACAACCATCCCTGCGTTGCATCCTTCTATTCTCATAAGGCAAGACAATGTTACCGAGTCTTTTGGCTCTCAGACTAATCCAAAGCTGCTGATGGGGATCGATTTGAATGGCTTATTCAGTATCACGGGGATCGTTTTTCGTCAGTAGCAGGTGTTTGTTCATGGCACATTGTTTTCAGCTCCATAAAAAAACAAATGCTTGAATAAAGTACTGGAGTTTGTGTGAGGGAAATTAGTAATATTACTACTCTACAGGTTGTTTTTTTTTATCTGTACAAATTCTGGGTTTACAGCAAACACTGGGCGCAACAGGCTCTTAATGCAAAGTTTACAGGTTGTCCCAAATGTCAATTATCTGATTTATCATAAGAGGTTCTTGTTTTCATATTTTACTCATCTTTTTGAACTTGATCATGCAAATACCTTGGGACCTTTCATCACTATTCCATTTCCATCTATAATATATTATATTTTTTACTAGATACATGTGCCAAATATGATAACTACTTGCTGGAATTTAAGACCTACAGTACTGGTATGTAATCTGTTGTTTAGTATAATCTCTATGTTTATGAGTTTAGGTACAGCTAATTCAATGGTATGTAATCTACCATTTGCTGCAAGCTAAGTCATTGGCTTTGTGTAAACTCTGCTGTAACAGTTGGGCGATTATGGTTTTATTGAAGAGTCTCCAATCTTTGTCGCTTTGTTTGAAAGAGCTGTGAACTGTTGATTCTGAACTGAATATGGTTTAAGTAATAGAGTTAAAGGCCCTTATATTTGTTCTCGAGTCTCTAGTTTGTGTTTTTTTCAAGCAACAGTAGCAGAATGATACCACAAAGTTTCTATCTTGATCCCAAAAAAGTCTCCATGTGTGATTTACATTAGGAGTCCATACCGGAACGCAGGGAGAAAAAGTGCGGATGAAAAGACCTATTGAAACTTGGTAATGCAGCAGAGTTATTTTTTAATGGCGCTATGGAGAATGTGTTGTTTTCCTGGTTGTCTGCAGCATCTTTTTTTCTGAGTGTTATGCTAAAATGATGTTTGCTACCAGCCATGACTATGATGTTGTTATGTTGTGCACTAGCAGTCAGCATGGTTTCGGCACATTGTTGAGTCTCTAGTTTCTTACTTTTTGTCTTTCTTGGATCTACCTGTAAGTCTACTTAATTTACCTATTATTAAGTAGATTGGTGACTGAATTTTTCATGCAAGGAACATTACATGGGAAGATGCTGCAGCTTCTATACAGCTTCTGATTTTATGATATCAGCTATTGCATGGGTTGTGAATTGTACTCAACTCACAGCCTTTCACTCATAAAGAAATTGTACTGCAAGTCTACAACTATATAACTATGGAAGCAGTTGATGACAAAAATCTTGCAGAAAAGTTGAAATAGATATCATTAAAAAAACCTCCATAAACCCCTATTTTGCAGCTGAAGGAGAAACGGCCGTGGCAAGATGTGTGGAATAGCTTTGATCGTGTCCGGCATTCGCATTGACCTGTCAACGCTGGTCCCTGATTCTCCCTCCTCCCTACCTTTGATTCCACTTGGCTTTGCTTCGAAATTCTCCCTTGATGATCTTAAATCAGCTCTTCGGCAGCGAGGTCCTGACAGCTTGGGCAGCAAGAAGGTTAGGCTCATAGTCCGATCCAGTCAGGGTAATTTCCCAATCGAAGAAGCAAACCAAGAAGAGGATTTGGTGATTTCCGTGCTTGAGCGATCTGGAGAGTTTGGAGAGCAGGAGTACTCCACTTGTTTGAGGAATTTCGCCAGAGAAGAAGTCACTACAACGACAGAAAGTTTCAAGTTGGGGAAAGATGGGCACTGTTCTGATGGTGAACTGCAGTTTATTGGAGCCACATTGCAGTTGAGGGGAAGGAGTCGTGTGATGCAACCCTTCCTGGATTCATCTGGGAATGTTCTTGTCTTCAATGGTGAGTAGCTTCCTGCACATTTTGGTGATGGTTCTCTGTTCTTAGACAATCTTATGCTGACAAATTAGTTTTTTTTTTCTTCTGAATTGGCATGATTCAAAGGTGAGATATTTGGAGGAATTGAAGTCGCCCATGATGATAATGATAGTGAAGTTCTTTTGCAAACGTTGGTGAACTGTTGCTCCTGCCACTCCAATGGACACTTAAATGAGTGTTCTGCTAGCGGGGAAGACCAAAATTCTGTACTGGAGGTGCTTTCACTGATCAAAGGGCCTTGGGCTATCATCTATTGGCAGGTAATTGCTGGCGTATTGGAGCTTCTTTTATTCATGTTTTCTTTTGTTTCTTTTCTCCAGTAGTTTTGCTGTGTTTTGACTGTTTATCGCCTTGTGCAGGAAAATTCAAGGACGTTGTGGTTTGGTCGAGACGCATTTGGCAGACGGAGCCTTCTTGTTCATTGGCCAGATGAGGTCGACTCTCGGTTTTTGCTTTCTTCGGTGTCACCATTTTCTTCTGCTGATCAGAGTTCTGGTATAAAGTGCTTGGTAGTGTTTTATTCATCTCGATCCTCTGTGTACCTTTTACTTCCCTCTTATGTTAGTTTTGCAGCAAGTGCAATTAGTTATCACACTGTCAGATGTATAAGCTTGTTGTCCTTCTGATATTACACTGGTTTGACTGCAAATTGAAGTTCCTCTTGGTTTGACTGTAATTAAAATTCCTGTGATATTGTTTGTTCTTCTGCCTATTCTGTAACATCACAAGATATTGCTTCATTTTAGCTTGCTTCTGTAGGCAACTAACGAGGTTCTACATTATGAAAGGCATCATTTTCAGCTCTTCATTCCCTGAGATTCCAGTTTTATATTGTGTCCTTTTCTTTCTTCTGTTCATACTGTTTGTATGCAACAAAAGCGAACCGTTTATGAATATGACAAGCTCTGTAACTGTTGTAGATGTTGATATCAAAGATGGAAGCATGCCAAATTTTTGGGAGGAGCTTTCTTGTGGAATATATAGTGTTTCCTTAGATTATAGTCCTCAAGATGGGTATATTGCTGGTGGTATCAAGAGACACGAGTGGGCTAACACAGTATTACAAGAACTCATTAGATGGGAGAGAGCTTCTGTCTATCCTCAAGCTCATGACTCATATTTTTCCTCCTGCAATTTGACGGAGCAAAGGGAGCTGCTTATTTTACCTTCGGCGGAGACAATTTACCTGAAATCAGGTATTATCCTGACAAATAACAGTTTGTATATTGGCACGTGACAGGATTTAGACAGCTGAATAAATTGTGGTTGCCAACACTTCGAGCATGGCTAACTGGAGCTTGCTTTTGATTATCAGTACCTGTTCAAAGTTCAGTATCAAGGCAGGCTCATAATGTGCTGAGTGTTTTGAGGAAGTCTGTAATGTTAAGAACTTCACAAAATGACATATTTCAGGTAGACATTTCTTAACTCACTGAATAGTCGTCTTGGGGAAAAGATTCTTGTATGGATTAGACACATGAAATAAACAACAAAGCAATTCTCGTTAGGTAAACCGTAACAAATGACTTGTACAAGACAAAAAGTCACTTTCTGGTGACTATTATTCTCAAGCATATAAACCACTTTTGCACTAAATCATTTTCCTTTAGTTCTCAGTGATGAGGGAGCTTATTTATAGTCTTGGTTCATGACATTGTTTTGAATGGATCAATTCCTTTCAAATGCACATATAGGTGATGGCGGATGATAGTACACAAGAGGACTGTACTCCCATTGCGGTGCTGTTTTCTGGGGGTTTGGATTCTATGATATTAGCTGCATTGTTGGACCAGTCCATAGATCCAAACTGTAAGCTTTTCATATGTTTCTTCAACTTCCGCTACTGTAATTTATTGCTATCAAGTCCGACAAGGAAACAGAAATAAGTCCTATTCTCTTATTCTAGGTTTGACAGGTGCAACCTGAACTCTTGGATGGTTGAATTGGTTATTTTTTTTTTGTTATGGATTTATAAAAATCGCATTTTGCTTAGTTGCAATAATTTTTTGGTCTCGAGCGATTCCTTTCTTGTTCTCTTATTTTAGTGCTCCGTTTAAAAGTTTCAAATTATTTCAAGTAGGATGTACAAACTTGACTTGCTTACTCCTGAATCTCTTTCAATCCAGAATCTCCAAGATGATGCAAGTTGTTATCACTTTAAGCAATTATATTTCAAATATTTTGAATTTCATATCTATGTATGTGTTTGTATTGGTAGATGGGGTTGATCTGCTTAATGTAAGCTTTGATGGACAGTCCGCTCCCGATAGGATTTCTGCTAAGGCAGGAGTAGAAGAACTGAAGAGAATCGCACCATCAAGAAGGTAAAATTTTAAATTTTACTGGATAAATTACATGCCAGAGATCCTTTATCTCCTCTTTCTTGTATTCTTTCATTTTAGTTTTGAGGTTCTAGATCTTTTCCGTCATACTCCAAGGACATCTGATTAGATTCTAAGCCAGTCTTACTTGTTCGATGGACATAATTTGTTATTCATGCCTATCTCATACAAGCACCTGCAGTCGGTTGTTTTAAGAACCCCTAAAAGAAGACAAAAAGACTCCCTTTTGCACACTAGTGAAGCCGTTCTGGTTTGTTTATATGGATAACTATTTAAGATAATAATTGCTGGAGTGCAGTCCCTCATCGTGGATGAAGAAAAGTGAGCACTCTCTTTTTGTGTACAGTGAATTTGTGGAATTTGTCCAACAGAACAATGCCATGAAACAATTATAAGAAGTCTATGCACCGAAGTAGGATCAACTTGAATTGAAGCCTTTATTAATTCGTTCTATATTGCACCCTTCAACTTAGTTGAAATTTGTTTCTTCGGGAATGCAGGTGGAAACTTGTAGAGATTGATGCTGACTTATCGAAGTTAACCATGGAGATGAAGCATGTTATGGAGTTAATTTACCCTGCAAATACGTACATGGTAACTGATTGATACTTTAAGCAAGTTAGAAGCATGCAGAGTATTTTGTCAATTCTATGTATTCATTTTTGTGGCTATCGTGCAGCACCTAGGAATGAATGATATTCATATCCTTAATATGGCCACTATGTTGTTCATATGCTGACTGTTGGTTGCCATTAAGTTGTTTTTTTGATGACACACGTACCTTCCCAGACGAGACTTACTCATGGACTTACTATTGCAGGACCTAAATATAGGGACTGCTTTATGGCTTGCTGCAAGTGGTGATGGTTGGACCTGTGCTTGCACTCGCGGTTTCAGTGATGAAAACCAACGTGTAAAATACAAGTCCCAGGCTAGGATAGTCCTTGTTGGTTCTGGAGCTGACGAACAGTGTGCTGGATATGGAAGGCACAGAACAAAGTACAGATGTGGAAGGTATGACTATTGGAAATTTGGCAAAACATTATTCATTAACTTCAGAAAAGTAAATCTGGATCAAAGCAATAAACTAAAAACCAGGAATCATTGTTGATAACTACTTCACGCATAAAACAGTAGCATTTTGGTGTTGAATGTTGTTACAAGTTACAATCCATGTGAGAGGAGTTGGTTCTTATGTAATAAACTGAACATGGGAGCTAGTACATCAGATCTTCAACCTTTGCTCTAATTGTTGTTTCTGGTAACGTTGATGCTCAGTTGGATTGGCCTGCATGAAGAAATGAAACTGGACATGCAAAGGATATGGAAACGGAACATGGGGAGGGATGATAGAATCATTGCAGACAACGGAAAAGAGGTACCGTAAACAATGCCTGTTGCATATCGTCTTCTGTCATTCTACACTTGTTGCATAGTGTTTATCTTATTTGGTGCATGTACAGGCTAGATTCCCGTTCTTGGATGAAGATGTGATCAAAACTCTTCTTGAAATCCCATTATGGGAGGTCGCAAACCTTGATGAACCAAGTGGAGTCGGGGATAAAAAGATCTTGAGAGAGGTTTGTACCGAATTCCTTTTTTCTTCAGTTTGCATTCTGTGGGATTTAGATGTGCCAACCAAGGGGTACTCCATCATCAACCTCCTCAACGAAGTTGTTACATCTGACGTGTAGCCTCTGGTACCATGAAGTGCCTTGCTACTGACAAATGAACCCACCTTAATTTTGGTTCGTTACTCACAGTTTCAACTTTCAACGTACTGACACAATGCGTCATTTCTTGTTAAGGTTGCACGATTGCTCGGGTTGCAAGAAGCATCAATCCTCCCTAAGAGAGCAATCCAGGTAATTCAGGAGCATTTGTATTCCATAAAGGATGGAACTTTTGAACAGCTATACAATATTCACCTTCTTGTGCTATAGTTTGAACTCCTTCATTGCTGCAGTTTGGCTCGAGAATTGCCAGAGAATCTAATCGGAAGAATTTTGGAAGCAACCGCGCAGCTAACCAGGCATCTGCAGGAAGTGTAGTGATTGACTGAAGACTGATTCTTTTATTTGAGATTAATTATTTAGGCAGGAAGTGTAGTGATTGACTGAAGCTTGAACGGCTACTGAACTAACTGATGGTTGTTTAGAATTGTGTAGAGTGCATACGATACAAGTATTTATTTTCGATATTTTTTTAAACAAAAAGTTCATTTATGCTCCTTTTTTCTTGTTAGATATTAGTAGGAATGTCCGGGTTCGGTTTTTCGGGTTTACCCGAAACCGACCTGATTATATACATTTTCGGTTTTTCGGGTTCGGGTATGTTTCGGGTTTTGGGTTTTTCGGTTTTGCTTATCGGTTTTTTGGGTTCCGGCTAAAAACCTCCAATGAATAGAACTCAACCCGTATTTTTAGGCTTTCTGGTTTTTGAGTTTCGCTTTTGCTTTACTCGAACCTTAACCCGATAAGGAATTTTCGGTTTTTTGGGTAACCGGAACCCGCAAGTCCTTATCGGGTTCGGGTTCGGTTTTAGTGATTTTCGATTTTGGATTTTCGGATTTTTTTGGGTTTCGGTTCGATTAACCGAACCTGACCCGAACCGACACCCCTGGATATTAGAGATGTCATAAATTGTCATTCTACTATTGCATCGTTTCAAACATGTTCTTTTATTATTTTTTCAAGTGAAATTTGCCCTTTATTATATTCATTTTCTCAAACATGTTTTTTTTTAATGACGTAATACTTTTGACCAAAGTCATTAGTCTTCATAAACCTGCATCAAGTTTCAAGTCCCATAAGTACCATAGTTAACTAACTTCATACTTGAGTCCTTGGAATCATTATGGTGAACTGTCGACTTCTTGAGCGTACTTCTAGAGCTTCTATAATTCTTGAATGCCCACGATGATGTCAGTCCTAATCCTAATTTCGTTATCATATACCATCAGACAGTCATGCATATGCAATGCTTTAGGTATATTAATAGGAGTTATTGAGCTTACAGTTTTGTTTACCTTATAAGTGTCTTGCGTATTTTATCTTCAAATGGGACCCCGTCCTACACTTAGCTAGTGCAACCGTCCAGTAAAACTTGTTATAACATATCCTAACATGAATACTCTCATAATGGGGAGCATGAACGTGTAAAGTGTGCCTATCTAAGGCAAAACCGTTAGAATCTATGATTGCGCTTGGCGGCAGAGGCAATGTCTAGTTAGGGTTTCAACCGCCGCCATTGTCAGTGGGGCCTCGCCACTGCAGCCTTTGGATCCGCAGACGAGGGTTATCAGGGAGGTCTTCTTCTTCTTCAATTGGGGAGGTGTGTCTTCTTCGTTTCCACCGTCGTTGCCCGTTGGCGTTTGAGGCAACGAAAATGGATGTTGTTGCCGTAACTCCAAGTTCCGCTTCCGACGCTAGTCTCCTCCGGCGACGCCATGGATGGATCAGATTCAAGGTTTGGAAAGAAAGAAGAAGAAGAAATCTAATTTCTCGACTGAATCGGTTTTATTCTTCGATGGAGGAATCAAAGAATCAAACCCGTGAGGAAAATGGTTTGTTTTAGTTTGTGAAATCAAGCAATGTAAGTTGGGGAGTTCTTCAGGCTTGGATTCGGCGGGGTTCAAGATAGGGTGCATAACCATGGGTTATGCACCCATCAATAACTAAATCTGGTCCCTTCATTTAGAAAATTCAGATCTACGGATGGAGAATTAAAGACCATTTTTATTTACCCTAGCTTTCTTAATCGGCTCATATCTTCTTTGTTTTAACTCGGATTTTTTTTTTTGCACAGATGGAACGAGTTCGTTTTGCTCTACAAAATGAGATCAATTTTCAATATTTTTTGAGAAAAAAATTTCTTGCCTCTCGGTACCAATTGCATACCATATAGTATTTTCTTCGTTTTTAATTCGTTTTTGAAAATATTTGCACAGAAGGAACGAGTTCATCATGATCTATTGGATCTACAAATTTCTGGGTGAACAAATTACAAGACCAAAAAACACCACACAATACCATACAATACCACCCTGGTATGTACGGGGTGGTATCTTGTGGTACACAATGTTAAAAGTCGTAAATGACAGTTAATATACTTCTACTATCATGTATTCAACCATCCTACAGTCTTGGTTTGTTCATACCACCATGGTACGCTTTTCAAACCATAGGTATGCTCTTATTTCAATACCAGTCAATACCATATGGTATAGACTGGTAAAAAATGGCTCAATTTTTTTTGTTCGTAAAATATATCAAAGTGGATATCATTTTGAAGAACACAAATAATCTGATCTAACTGTGTAAAAAAAATTAAATTTCGACTTAAAATGAGTGAGAAATCATCCGCCAAAGATTAAGGAGGAAAAAATTAAAGGCTTTCCAGGAGAGAGAGGGATGCTGATGTGGATGAGTTACTCATGATTACTCACCTGATCCGTTCCCATTCGCCGGTGGTTAAAGGAGGAATAGAAAGGAAGGAAAAAGGGAAATTCTTGGGAAGAAGAAACAGAGAAAGGGAAGGGAGGGGGAAATTAACTAAATTCTTTTTTTTATTTTAATTATTAAATATAAATTAAAAATATATTTAAATTGACTAAATTAGAAAAAAATATTTTTTATTTAATTTTAAAAAATAATTATTTTTATAACTCATAATGACGTGGCAAAGATATGATGACTTGTCATTGACGTGTATGATGAAGGTGGCATCTTCGTTAGCATTTCGTTAACTTAACTGGCGGATTACTTAACGCCGTTAAATTTTTATTCTTCGTTAGGAAAAATAATTTCATTCTTCGTTAGCATTACTTAATGGCTAGATTTGTCACTCCATCCGATTTTCTGGCTATTTTGTGTATTTCGATAGTTGTTGTTATATTTATCACAAACGTGAAAGTTGTGACTATAAAATAGTATTTTGCCTAACGGAAACTAATCTAACCCCCTTTAATTACGCAGCTGGATAAACATCCATGTACCATAGCCATTTGAACCCAAAATCGCTAACCCCAACCTTCGTGTCTCCTTTCTCCTTTGCTAAATTATGCAGCCAGCCTCTCCTAACATTTGCCGCACGTCCTCAGTTGGTCCATCATGAAATTACAAGCCACCAGCAAAGCTCCCTTACTAATGGATTCACCCTTCAATCACTAATTCTAAGTTACTCAATTCGTTTTTCTGCCCTCCAGAACCACCCATGCATCCCTATAAACAAATTCCATTCTTGCAACCAATTATAAAGACTACAATATAGCCAAAGATCTCCACCTAAATTCCCCATGCATATCCCACACAAACTATGCCCACCACACGCAGTACACATCTACCCGTCCTATCTGAGGCACTCCCTCCATTTCTCGAGTTTTTTTCCAGAAATAGCACATTTAAAAAAAAATTACAAAACTAGCACCCTTCCGAAATTATTTACAAAACTAGCACCCTTTTTTATGGACCGTACCTTAGAGGTGCGTTTTACATATAAACCGCACCCTCCAGGTGCGTTTTATACATAAACCGCACCTCTAGGGTGCGGTCCATTTTCCTGGGCCAAAACCGCATCTTGGCCATGCGGTTTCATGTCTGCCCTACACAAACCACATGGCCGAGGTGCGGTTTTGGCCTGACCTAGCTAAACCGCACCTTAGAGATGCGGTTTGTTCCTCCAAAACCAAACCACATCTCTAAGGTGCGGTTTAGCCACACAGACCACACCCCCCAAGTGCGGTCTGTGTGTCAATAATTTTCCGACACCCGACAAACCCATGCAGAGAATTATGGCTGCATGGCAGACTAAAACCGCACCTTAGAGGTGCGGTTTCCTCGTTTTTTCCCCTATATAAGACTACCGGAAAACCTCTACTCTTCACACCTCTCCTTCTCTCTTTTTATTTTTCTGTTGTATTCCTATATTTCTTTAGTGTTTTTGCCATTAACATTAACTCGTAAGTTTATTTTGTGTTACTTTTTATTGTTATTTGTGATTTGTGATTTTTATGATATTAACTGAACTACGGTTTTTTTTGTGTGCAGATGGCATTCCGTCAGTTCACGCTTGGCTTACGGTGGAATGGTTACACAGAAGAGACCGGAAAGGGGGCCACCTACGTCGGTGGCAATTTTCAGAAAATAACGGTCGGTACCAGACCGAAGCTTGAAGACCTCCATCAAATATGCACTCACGTTACTTGCATGGATGGCACGAGAATAGTAGATCGAATGGTGTACCTATATCCAAACAGAGAAAGTGGGTCATTGTGGCATGAGGAATATACCATAACCACTCAAGATGAAGTAGATTCCATGCTCGAATTCTTGAGGTCCAACAAATTGGCCAAAGCCGAGATGTTCGTTTCCACCGAGCCAGCCGTTGGTGTTGGAGGTCATTCTGGACACGGTCAAACATCTGGTATCCATGGTGGAGGTGAATTATATGGCGATCATCCCTACCAAAGTTACCATGATCCTCATTCCTATTTTCAGTACCAAGATGGAGGGCAAGGTGAAGGCCATCATCAATCTTTCCCGTCATATGAAGAAGAAGTTCAACCGGACCTCGGCCACCAACCCCAGTACAACTTCCAATCAGGCAGCGGTAGTTTTTACAACTACCATTATGGAGCTGATGAAGGTGCCTTTCATGAGCTGGATGAGATGGAAGCTGCCATGCCAGCACCAGTCAGCGACCCCTCCGATGAAGAAGGAGAGAACAACGTCAGTGCAGACAGCTCCGACCCTCTTGAAGGTGCTGATGATTCAGAACCAGAGTCAGATTCAGATAATGATCATGATGTGGCTTCTGACCGTGTACCAGTCCCCTACTACAATCACATTCCAGACGACAATTGGATGGTCGACAGCGACATGGAGCCGCCAGAGGTCCCAATATGGGGCCCACTCACTGGGTTTACGAAGGGCCAACAATTTGGCTCGAAGAAGGATGTGCGGCACGCCATTGAGACCGAAGCAATGACTCGGCATTTTGAATGGCACACAACTCATTCCAACACCAAAAGGCTGATAGTCAGATGCCATAATCATCACGAGGGGTGCAATGTTAGGATTCGGGCCATCAACACTCAATTAAGTAAAATAAAATAAAGGGAATAGTCCCAAGTACATAGAAATAAAAAACAACCCAAAATACATTTCAAGGAAGTCCACGAGCTTCACCGGAACCCACGGTTTTCTTGCTCCTTGTACGTTTGCCGACGGGA